GAGCACAAGTAAACAGTCAGCCATTCACCTAGTTTATATATATGTACTTAAAGTATAATACACAAGAAATCAATCAGCCATTCACCTAGTTTATATACATGTACTTAAAGTATAGAGCACAAGTGATCAGTCAGCCATTCACCTAGTTTATATATGTACTTAAAGTATAATACACAAGTAATCAGTCAGCCATTCACCTAGTTTATATATGTACTTAAAGTATAAAGCACAAGTAATCAGTCAACCATTCACCTAGTTTATATATGTACTTAAAGTATAAAGTACAAGTAATCAGTCAGCCATTCACCTAGTTTATATATATACTTAAAGTATAATACACAAGAAATCAATCAACCATTCACCTAGTTTATATACATGTGCTTAAAGTATAATACACAAGAAATCAATCAACCATTCACCTAGTTTATATTCATGTACTTAAAGTATAAAGCACAAGCAATTAGTCAACCATTCACCTAGTTTATATATATATATGTACTTAAAGTATAAAGCACAAGTAATCAGTCAGCCATTCACCTAGTTTATATATGTACTTAAAGTATAATACACAAGAAATCAATCAACCATTCACCTAGTTTATATTCATGTACTTAAAGTATAGAGCACAAGTAATCAGTCAACCATTCACCTAGTTTATATATGTACTTAAAGTATAAAGCACAAGAAATCAATCAGCCATTCACCTAGTTTATATACATGTGCTTAAAATGTAATGCACAAGAAATCAATCAGCCATTCATGTAGTTTATATACATGTGCTTAAAGTATAATGCACAAGAAATCAATTAGCCATTCACCTAGTTTATATATGTACTTAAAGTATAATGCACAAATAATCAATTACCCATCCACCCACCTAATTTTTAGATGTGCTTAAAATATAATAATGTATTGGGACAAGAAAAAAAATATTTCTAGTAGCATATCAAAATAAAATGTAACCATTCATGAACTGTTGTAAAATAGAACTCATTTTTATTGTTTATTACTGCTCATGATGTATTGTAACCATGGTGTATTTCACATGGTTATTAACATTTTATTTTATTTAGTGAAACAGCATACTGTGAAGTCCAAAATTAATAACCAGACTTTGATTTGAATGTTATAAAGCTTCTGGTGCATGCCAAAAGAGAGAATCATTATTGGACTATTCCTGGAATATTATGAGGAATATCATATTGATGACAAAGAACAAGCAAACAATTATCAAAATCTTTTTATTTTGTAAACATGGATCTAATTGGGTTATACTAATTTATGGTTGCCATTCTCACTTCATATTTAACTAACACTTCCATACCCATACCTTTTCATTTTTTGATTTCATTTTATCCTTAAACTGCTTCCAACACCTAGGATGGTATTCTAAGAAACACTGTTCCGAGCATTTCAACCGAGCAAAACCATGAAAATCAATGTCACAATAATAAATAGATTTGTTAAAATTACACTCATCAGAGCGGCAGACGGCATTAGGTCGTGGTGGATATCGACACTGCAGGATCAATTCTTCTATCGCTTTCTGAAAAGCAAACACTTAGTCTAAAACACCATACATAACCCAACCATTTTTACACCTAAAAACATATTCTAACTGAATGCTGTAGAGCAGTGGTTCGCAATCTTTTTAACCCTGTGGACCTAAAGTAGCTTACAGTGAACCATTAGGAGTATTTGATCTATAAATTTAAAGTATACAGAGAGCAGATAGATATAGATTGAGATGTAAAACAAGTTTGAAATGATCTAAAATTTGAATAGTATGGTATTTATTCTGAAAGAATTATAAAGAAATTTTTATTGTCCATTATTATACACTTCTTTTTTCTTCCTACTTCACTCCAGAAAATACATATCTGTGGACACTTTATTTACAAAATTACTTTCTTTTAAACTTATCTCAGTCTGAAGCAGCAATGTCCAACTGCTTAAAGAAATAGACAGAAACTACTTAACTTTCAAAATACATATCTGTGGACACTTTATTTACAAAATTACTTTCCTTTAAACTTATCTCAGTCTGAAGCAGCAATGTCCAACTGCTTAAAGAAATAGACAGAAACTACTTAACTTTTAAATGCTCACCATTTTCTTAATTTATCTCTAGTAACCACCCATTTTCTCCACATTGTCTACACACCCAAAACCTCCTAAGCTCTGATTTCATTATAGCATCATTTCTAGCCTTATTTCTTTTTTCTAAACTATTATTGTCTTTATTAAGTTAGTATTCACTTCAATATTCCCAGTCTTAGAAACTTTTATTGTTTCTTAAGTTCCTGGCTGCTGGCTCAAGCTATATATATAATGCCTTTATTTAAGATACAAATGTCTAGAAAACATCCTAAAAACATCTGAATTTCTAATTGAATGCTGTAGATCTTTGATAGAGACACTGTATTTCCTTAAACTCATCTCCAATCTGAATGTTTTTGTTTGTCTTAGAACAAAGCCACATTGGGCTATCTTGCTGTGTCCACTGCGAGTAATCGAATCCCAGAATTTAGCATTATAAGTCTGTAAACTTACTGCTGTCCCACCAGGGGACCTCCAATCTGAATTCTGCATTAAAAACATGCTCATCAGCATAAAAATAAAGTTACAAATTACTTAACATTTCACTGCTAACTGTGTTTATCTCTACTTATAACCCTAGTTTCACATCGTATAAAACTTCATGAACTCTGATTTCACCATAACATCAAAATTATTAAAATTTTTTTCTCCAAATTATGATTCTTTTACTCACTTTCAACTTTCCAGGTTTCGTCTCTTCCATCGTTACTAACTTTCCTGGCCATTGGTTTGAGCAACATACAATGCTTTTTTCTAAGATATCACGTCCAGAGAATAGAGGTGTCAATGCTTCTTTAAATCTGTCAAATATCTTTTCATTAAACTTCCATCCCAAATGTAAACAAGTGATAAAAATCTCTTTTCTATAAAAAGGCCACATTAAGAAAACAACTTTCTTACCTCTCCATAACATGTATTTTATCGTACAACTTCTTCAACTGAAGCTCGATTTTTACAACAAACTAAAAACTTCCTTTAAAAAGAAAAAAAAGCAAACAAATGTAAATAAAGAGTCATTATACATTTCACATATTTCTTTATTAAAAACATCTTAATTAAAAAAATAATTAAAATTTCTGTCATATGCATAGTTACTAACAGTAACAAATAATGTTTGAAATTTCAGGAAATAATATATTTTCACAAATACAATTGATAGAGACTTCATGAATTCACAGGCAGTTTCTACCATAGCTGACAAGTGGAAGTTTAATGTAAATCTTAACATGCTTTAATTCTATCTGAACAAGACTTAATAATGCAATCTAGACTTTGGAGCAAAACTATTCCACTGTATTAATTTTTTTCTTGCAGTATACATTATAGGCACTCTACATCAAAAATAGAGTAAAATGATAAAAGGCCTATTTAGTAAGTCACTGCACGGTAAGATACTCATTAATAAGACTAGGTCAACAATTTGAAATAACCTGTAAGTGTTAACTAATATATGGTTTTTATAAAATATACTGTTGCTTCATACAATATTACACAGTATTTTTTAATCCTCAATCAACATTTTTTTGCCTCTGATGTTTCCATTTCAGGATTTTCAAACTCCAAAAATAAGCTGCTCCAGTTTCCAATCACTTAGAAACACAACTATACATAATTATAAGAAAGTATTTAAAATTTACACTTGCTACCTTCTTGATTTGTTGAGATATCAATAAATCAGTTAAGCCTAACAGTATCTTGGACTTTCAAGATTGTTTTCTAATCAACTATACATGGCTAATGGACGTGTTTATAAAGAACAAATTCTCCTCTATTAACAGAGTATTACAGTTATTCGACTTTAGTACTGATAAAATAAAAGTCAGCCATAGTTTCTTTGCACAAGATGATCCTATTCAGAATGGATTAGGGAGTTTTTTTTTAACCCGTTTATAGCTTGATAGGTTTAAGAACTTTAATCGACTGTAACTGTCTATTGAACGTAAAGGGAGTGATGTTTCAGCTTCAATACTGAGGCCTTCCACTGAAACAACTATTTATAGTATGCTTGAAAATCCAAATAATTAAAGAAATTTTGGGACACTCTATCACAGATCCTTTCTTTCTATTTTACTTATTGTTATTCGTTTTTATTAGCATGTAAAAATTTAAAACTTCAGTAAAATAAAAATTCTGAAATTTCACAAATTTGAGCTAATCAATATGTGTGTCTTGTTTTCAACATGTTGGTTATGTTAAGTCTGTTGGAAACAGCTAGTGACACCTGCTGTGATTTATTGTTTTTGAAGAGAGAGAATTAATACTTCAGTGCATACAAAATACAGCAATAAAACATAAAATTAAAAGAATACAGATGTGCAAAGATTAACAGCTGGAATTATCAAGATAAATAATTTGGAACTCTCGGATCAATACTAGAGTCAGTATAGTGGTTCTTATATCGTTAAATATTGGAAAGTTGCTAACAAAATCTAGTTCACATTCAATGTTTTCATGTTTACGTTTGAAGTATCTACGTTTACAAGTTATTAATTTTTATGAATGTCAATGCACAAATGGGTACTAAGATAGTGGAAATGGTCAACAAGAATGCACTAGATGATGTAAGATTAAAGCAGAAGAATTCTGCCAAGAGCTATATGACTAAAGTATAGTATCTATATATACCTTTAACAAAAACGCAATGAATTTTAATACAAACAATAAAGTGGTATTAATAAGGTGACCCTGATTTTGATCCTGCTTCCATTATGATTTCCGTTTGAAGCAAGTAAAAGCTACCAGCAAAATTACTGTTTATATTTTCAAAATGTACAAAATTAAAACTGTTTACAATTGATGATTATTATATAATAATATCAATTTAATATGATACTCTTGCTTTTCCCATTGATAGTTTTAGATGAAAACATGAATACAGGAATCCATGAAATAATCGTTAATGAAAATTAACACGTTCACTGCTGAGGATGCACACGTCCATCTTTAACATTCATTCACGTGTGCTCATGATGCACATGTGAATTTTAAATAAATTACACATTACATGTTTTACATTTGTTATTATTGCTATTATTTAAGTTGAAAACACAACAATATTGCACTAAACTCTTATCGGCACTTGCCACGGATGGTGCCAAGCACGACGGAACTTAACATCTTAAGTAACAACATTTTTGAAGTCATAAGAAAAAATCTTACCTATTCATCTTAAAGTAGGCTAAACCTAAACTGTAATAAGCTGCTGGAAAGGATATATTTTCGTGGTTTTCAATAATATCTTCAAAAAGAGAAATGGCTTTCTGTATTTCCTGTTAAACAAGTTCTCAAATGATAATTTTATACATACTACATTTTAAAATTAATTACACAATAAACTTTGAGAAATGCTTAGATATACTATTTAAGCTTTTACTTAACAAGAGAAATTTCACTTAAAATGTGCAGAACAATATTTTCAGCTGTTAGTTTCGATTTGTAATATATACAACAAAAGTAATCATATAAAAAAATTGAAAGTATTTACTGTCACTGGTGTTGAAGTTCTTTTTCACCCAGAGACAAATGTTCTATTTGCAGAATTGGGGAAGGGGGTTTCAGAGAAAACTTCTGAATACCTTTTATCTTATTAACAACAGCAAAAAAGGCTTATAATATTTATACATATATATACACACAAAGCTGTACATTATTGAAATAATGACTCACAAAAATAAATATTGCGTGCTCACATCATTTCTACCTAGTCAACAGTCAAAAAGTTCCTGTTTCCATAAAAGTTTCTGATTTTAAGTCAATATTACAGGTATATTGTGCTAACATCTATATTTATGTTACAACAGTTTACAGAATTCCGAACAAATCATTACAGTATCACTCACAAAACTGGATACTAAATTCTTAACTTTTGCAAAATTCTTGAAAAAACTGATTTGTTGTTACAAGTCCCTTATCAAAACACGTGGTAGTGTGTCATGTGGCCAAAACAACCTGCAAAACATACTGGTTTTATTAACAGGAGTGATAGTTTAGCAATTTTCCACTTACTGTAGCTAGGGTTGTGATAATCAAAACTATCACATATTTTTCAGTGGATGTGCTCTACTGGACCATTACTTCACAGACCAAATTTCAAGGCAACCCATTACAAAATACACAAGATATAAAATCTCCAATTTTGATGAATTTCTTCCTTTCTTTTTCTTTGCACGAAAAGTACAGAAATCTTTTGTGATAGAAAAGCATACTTAAATTTTAGGGATTTTTTTCATATTTGGTACACTGACAGATCTTTACAACCTACAATTAGGTGTCAAATTTGGTCTAAATATAAGCCACAATTGCAAAGCTATTCAACAAAAACCACTCAATTTTGACCAAAGTTTTATACACGTGCCTATGCAAAGTCATAGGAGCTATCTGTTTAAAATTGTTACTACACCTAAGAGTAAAAGTGGATTTTTTTTTAGTTTTTTGTCATTCAGATTAAAGATGGCTGACTTAGAGAAGCAAAACTGTAGGATGAAAGTGAATGCATATACATATGTTTTGGTTAGGCCAAGCAAACTATATTAGCAGTTTATAGCTCAAGTTGTCCAAAGAATCATATGGGTGAATGGTTATTATTCATTGCCAACTTTTAAAAATAAATTATGAAATTTTCCTAATTAAAGAGTGTCTAGCATTATGTGATATTAGCTTAAACAATCAGCGTAAATAATGATGCTTGATACAGCTGCACTGAGTACATGTGGAAAATGACAAGAAACTGTTAATATAGATTCCATGGTGTTACTATAAAGGAAGTTATTAACACTGATTTAGAGAGGAAAAACTATCACCATATGTTATAAAGAATATGGTTGGTTCTGTAAAGTATAAGTCTGTTATAATAGGGCTGCCATCATAAAGCTAATGTTGGTTACTATCGAGTGTCACTTTCTTACTTGCTCTGGTTTGTTGGTGTGTATTGACAAAAAGTCATGACATCTAATAAAAAACACCTTAGGTGTGAAAAAAAAGGTGCAGCCAAAAAAGGATTGAGCGTGTGACTTAAAGGAATGAAATCAAAATTGATAGCCATACTGGTAGCTACACTTATAGCACTGATATGAATTTAACAGCAAATATTCATTCATTAGTTAGCCAGGCCACATATTTTGTTTTACCCACAATCATGCACCAAGTTGAACAAATAACACAGCCTGGCTAACTAACAAATGAATATTTGTTGTAAAATTCTTTTCAATGCTATAAGTGTAGCTACTAATATGGCCATCAATTTTGATTTCATTCCTTTAAGTCACACGCTCAATCCTTTTTTGGCCACACATTTTTTCCACACCTAGGGTGTTTTCGGTTAGATTTTATTATACCATAGTTTTTATCTTCAAAAATCTTTTCACAAGTACAATCTTGAAATTCCTACCTCCATTTGTCCATATTCCATATTAGCCATTCCTGAAGCATATTTTAAAACAACAATATCAATCTCCTTCAAATTGAAATCCTAAAGGAAAATTAAGCACTTATTAATACAATAACCACTAGCAATAGATTGGCCACAGAGGCCATTCTGGTCTTTCCTGATTTGCCACTACACTCAAAATAAGGCCTACTAGTACAGTACTCTAAATTTATAAAATTGAAAATTAACAACTGTTCCTAAACTATAAAAATTAACAATGTGACGCCTCCCTGTCATTCGTGTAGCATGGGTTGACCTTAATGGTTCAAACGATACTATTTACAGTAAGTGAATTTCCAATGATTAAATACAATGTCAGTCTACCTCTGTATAAAACAGTACGTAAGTCCTTGTATTATCATGTTACAGCAACAGTGAACAGCAGTAAGTATACTTGTAGTAAGACAATGATATGTAGTTGTCTTGTGTTACAGCAACAATGAACAGCAGTAAGTATACCTGTAGTAAGACAATGATATGTAGTTGTCTTGTGTTAAAGTAACAATAAACAGAATTAAACCTGTAGTAAGACAATGATATGTAGTAGTCTTGTGTTACAGCAATAACGAACAGCAGTAAGTATACCTGTAGTAAGACAATGACATGTAGTAGTCTTGTGTTACAGCAACAATGAACAGCACTAGTTTTACCTTTCCAGAATAAGACAGTCTATAGTCTTATGAGAACATGTAACATTCTTCAAGTTAGATTCGATGACGAGGAACCCACCTTGAGACTAATAATAATTGGAGACGGCTTGAATAGGTAATAAAGAAAAACTTTAATATAAGTTTAACATAACAGCAAATGTACAAAATCTTGTCGAAACATTGTACATTTGCTGTTATGTTAAACTTTTATTAAAGTTTTTCTTCATTACCCATTCCAGCCATCTCCATGCATTATTATTCTTCAAGTTAATTACACACTGGTATAAGGCAGCCACTGTATTCTATGTTAATGGTGTACAACATGCACTTTATACAGTATTGATCATGACCACTATAAGCAGGAATCACTTTACTAATGGTACATTCAAGTCAAAGTTATTTACCATGAACTGTAAGTAAACACAGCCAATAAAAGGAAGGTTTTAGGGTTTACTTTAATCAGAAACTTCATCATGTTGGTTTTATTTTTACTGTATTAGCCTAATATTAGTTTTTGGCAAAATGGCAAATATGGTGGGTGAGCACCGTTTTGATCAACTTGTTTGTTGGCTATGCAAGTTTCTTGATCCAATGACCCTTCAGAACAACAAACATACATTTTAAATGGCTTGTTTATTAATTATCCAAATTACATCATCTAACGACTGGACACAACAACAAACACACATTTTGATCACATTGGTTGTTGGTTATCCCAGTTCCTTTATCCAAAACTCTATACAACAACGAATGCTTCAATAAGCTTATTTATTGATTATCTAAATTTCGTGATCCAACGACTTTACACCCCAAAAAATACATTTTAACCAGTGTTTGTTGGTTATCCAAATTCTTCTAATCAATAATTGTTTTATAACAAACACATTTTGATAAAAAATGTAACAACTAGAACCTAGTAATAATTATAATTCTGAAATACTGTTTAGAACAGTAATCATTTTAATTATTTAATAATAAATTTATCAGATGGAATTCAATAACCTGAAGTTAAAAAAAAAAAACAAGAGAAAGAAAAAAAACATATGTCATATTCAACTGTCAGAAATGATTTAAAGAGAACAATAAGATTTATTTATTAATTTTCTAGTGACAAAAAAGAAATATAAGTTTTTATCAGAACAGAATAGCTATGAACACTATATATATATATATAATGTTATTGGTCCAGGAGTAAAAAATCATTTCTCACCTCTATGGAAAAAACTTTGGAAACTGTTGAAAGTGCTTCTTGATAATAAGAAATTGCACTACGAACACATCCCTGAAGAAATGCTTCAGAACCAGCTTTTACGGATTGTTTAAAGGACATACTCGATACAATATTCCTTCTATTTTTCTACAGTATAAAAATAATCAAGACAAAAGTGTTGTTTTTTTTTCTAATATTTTTACTATAATTTCTTTCCAAAAAATTAATATTTTTTCTTAAGAAGTTATTCTTAATCTTTCAACACTGAGATGTAACTAATCTGTTCAATACACTTTGACAACATTTCTTCGCTAGGTGAGACAATACATGGCTGCCAGATAATATTAAAATTTATGTCTTAGGAAAATTTAATCAATATTTTGAAGACAATATCTAATTCTGTAGTTATCAACTGTCAGAACATTTAGTTGATTGAGAGTTTCCCATATGAGGTAGCACTAACTGTTGCTATAAAAGTCTCCTACATACTCAAGTAAAACATTAATTCTTTCCTTACACTAAACAAGCCTAAATAAGCGAATTTGAAATATGAACCAACAAATTAAGAATCCAGACTATCTCACAATAGTACCAGAGGGTTAAGCTCCCACCTCCATCCATTGTATCTAGCCTATTCATCATTATAGCTACCAACCATGGAAGTGCATTATGTAAGGATCTATTTTTAGCCAGCTCATACTTGTAGGTTTAAAAACAAAAGTATTTTTGATTTTCTGTCATATTTACTGGATGATTCTAAGAGAAAAACTTATCAAATATCAAATAATATACCTTATCTGTTTTGGTTTTCTCTTTCTTCCATCTAAACTGTGTAAAAGGCTTCAAAATCAATTCAACTTTTAATTGTGACTCACTGGGCATGAAAAGCTATGCCAAAAATGTTTGATTTTAAAAACCTGGTTTAACTAAGTAATTTTTTTTTAGGTTTTAATCTTAGCTTTAATTATCTCATGATTATAACAGATGACAGACTCTAACCCTTATACAACATGTTTACATTAATTTTAATGTCCTCAACAGACTCTAACCCTTATACAACATATTTACATTAACTTTAATGTTCTCAACGTACTCTAACCCTTATACAACATATTTACATTAATTTTAATATCCTCAACAGACTCTAACCCTTATACAACATACTTACATTAATTTTAATGTCCTCAACAGACTCTAACCCTTATACAACATATTTACATTAATTTTAATGTCCTCAGAAGACTCCTAACCCTATACAACATATTTACACTAGCTTTAATATCCTCAAGAGACTCCTAACCCTATACAACATATTTACACTAGCTTTAATATCCTCAAGAGACTCCTAACCCTATACAACATATTTACACTAGCTTTAATGTCCTCAAGAGACTCCTAACCCTATACAACATACTTACACAAGCTTTAATGTCCTCAAGAGACTACTACCCTTATACAACATATTTACACTAGCTTTAATGTCCTCAAGAGACTCCTAACCCTATACAACATATTTACACTAGCTTTAATGTCCTCAAGAGACTCCTAACCCTATA